AGAAACTGGTCTGTGGATCAAAGAGCTTTCTCATGTTAAAGACTGAGAGGAGGATATGCTCCAATGTCTGTATTTACAAGATGTATCTCCAGAGATATGGCAATATACCTTAGCTGTTTGTTTTGTTTTAAACTTAATCAAAATACAAAACAGTCTTCAAAAATGTTTCTCAAAAGCTAGGCAATGTTGAGCCCTTAACTTCATCCAAGGTAGAAACAATCATTCCATGCCACAGGGGGTGCTGTGCAAGATATTAGAAAGAACAAACTTCACTTCCAAGCTAACAAGAAAGTTCTGGTACAAATTTTGTTTCAGTGACAATAAAGACAGCCCTAGAAGAGGTTACGTTTGCAAGCTGTCAGCTCTATGCAGGTACATACGCACAGGATCCCAGAAGATAATACATGCGCAATCCAACTGGCTGGGATTGGCTCTTTCACTCAGTGAGGGACTGCTCGCAGGTACAAACTGCAACAAGAGCAAGGTGCTTGTAGCAGAGTTATTGGAGCAGTTTTAGTTTGGTTATGTGCTTTAACAGAGAACTAACTTGTATTAAAACTAGGCACTGAAATGAATTTTTGCATTGTTTAATCTGTTGGGAATACAATAACTTAAAAGAAGAAAAAGCTACTAAAAGAAACACCTAGCAGGACATGCTGAAGTATTGCTTTCACACAAATACAGGATCTGTTTTCTTGGATTTTTTTTAAGCAACGTGATTGAAACAAATTTTAAATGGTGAAATGAGGATGCCCTGTGCTGAATGACAGCTTCATATTTTGCATGCTAGCTGCTCAGTCTAGCAAACAAAAAGAGCTGAATCTAACTTACCTCTAGTTGAAAGAGCATTTATTAAATGTTTGGGTACTTTGCTGAACTAAGACCTAAGAGATATCCACAATACTTGCTTTTCATAGAGGAAATGATGGGGCTTAACCTTTTTGTTTTAAAGAATAGAATCAAATAATATCACTCGGCTTAAAAAAAGCAATAGAAGTTTTAAACATCTCTATAGAAGGCTCATGGCTCATGTTGAGAACTTTATGCTATAGCTGTAAATAAGAGAGTTTATTTCAGTTATTCTAGAATTCCTGTATCTGAAGAATACATATTTAGATCTGAGCCATCCAAGAAATTGTGCAACTGGTCTCCAGCTAAAAGCCAAGGAACCAAAGAGCTAAAAGTGGATTTTAGTTCCTGACTTTTTGCAGAATGCCACCTACTTACCGACACAAACGTTTTCAGTGGAAATATGTGTTGCCTTTTGTTAATTGCATCCAGCATGCGTTTTTTTTCAGCTGTTTCACTTACATTTCAGTCTCAGACTGCCCCTTACTGTGCAAAGCAATAGTGTATTTACATCCCTTTGTACCAGTGGAGTCACCCAAGGGAGTTCTGTAAAGGACTTTTACCAGCAAACGAACAAGACAGCACACAAGAAAATACAAAACTGCCACCTAGTGTCAGGTTTAAGGTTGGCAGAGAGGCACCGCAGCACGAGTCAGAGGAGAGTAATGCGAGAGGGATGGAGAGCCACAGAGATCATGCAACGCCGAACTTGGCTCGTGTTCAACACCACTGAAATCTGCCTAAGGTGAACTTAAACTAATTCTGCTACAAATAAGCGAAATACATTCCATAAAGTATGTGAGCAAAGCTGTAACAGAGAAACACAAATACAAATCAGGAATCTGTTTAAATGTAAAACTCCATTAAATTTCATTATTCCTAATTATTTTTAGCTGACAAAGTGAAGCAACATTTGCTTTGTGTTTTCTAGAAAGTCATATTCATGTTAGTACTAGCTCCTTTCTAACAAGTCTAATCATGGTTTTTCTTAGGTGGGATCACTCCTTGAGTCAGTTGTAGAACACGAAAAACATTAATAGTATAGCCAAGGAGGAAAAACAAAGCAGAAGCCAACACTAATAAACTTTATGTGTAGGAAGTTCATATGCAGAAAAGTCGGGTACCTTTCAAAGGCTTAGAAGTTCACTGTTTGTAATACCGAAAGCGTTATCCTGCTTCTAATAAAAACATCGGCCATTTTGTCAAGAGAAAGCAAGACAATGCTATAAAAACCTCATACATTTCTACATACTTGCTGTGACAACCTCACTGTTAATCTTTTTTCTATACTGATACAATTTACAAGCTCAGCAAAAAGCTGGAGAAACGGCCACTCACATCACATCTAAAAAGGGTAAATAGGGCTGACCCAGTGGCCTTCTGGTGTATGCTAAAGTAATACCAGGAATGCATGAAAAATACAAAATACAGTTAATATAATAGTACAACTGAAGTAAGGGGAGCTGGAAAGCATAGCAGAGAAGCAGGAAGGTAAAGAACTGTAATCGGGACTCTTCCAGTTTATCCAAGGATGGAAGATGATTCATACAACATGGCTGTGCTATTGAACGCAGGGGATTTTCAGACAAGGCAGTATCTGCATGTGCCAGGCAAGGTAGACAGCAACATTGTGCTGCCAGATTCACTTTTTCTTGCATGCTTACTGTATGAAAATTACTAACAAATTAGAAGTATTTGAGGTGATCATCAGCAGGCATTATACACAGAAGACAAATGATACGGACACAGAACTAAAGTTTGGGGTTGAGTTGTTGGACAGCTGAACCCACAGTATTGTCATTTAACCTGTGGCAAAGCAGCTTTTTGCTCTCCTTGTTGTGCTGCTGCTTTTGTGGCTTACCAAAACTGAGTGAGTTTGGGCAAACAAGATGGGACTAGAAGTAGCTTCTGAAGCACTTGGTCATGGCACCCAGGCTCACAAACAGCAGCCTCTGGAAGGAGCAGCCTGCAGGATTCCCTCTCACATTTGATAAAGCAGGTTCATGTTTCTACCACTGGAATGGTCCATTCTCCAAGCTGCTGGATATACCTTTTTTTACGTTCTACACAGAGAAAGTGAAGGTATAGTGAGAGCGGCATCCCATATGTAACTGGATGGGCATCTTCACAGAAGAGAGCAAAACAGATGTTGAGGTGAGACTACAACAGAAAAGAATTTCTGCTCATTTCCCCCTTGAATAAACCAGTATTGCACTTACTCATATGGCTGTGGGGACAACAGGGAACCAACTCTACCAGGAGGTAGCTGACTAGTTCCTTGAAAATACCCATTTCTACCTGGTTAGAAGATAAATGCAGAGGGATGGGATAATTTACTACCATCACCAGTCTGACTTTCCAATACTGCTTAATCACCATCAAGCAGATGCTTCTGTCCTTAATGGCAAAGAGAACAATGTCAAGAACTGTAATGCCATGGTAGCTGAAAGCTTCCTGTCTTGGAAGATTATTTTAATCCTTATATATTAGGAGATGGATAATAAACCTAATCTTTTGTTTGAATTATTTCTTATTGAATAAGCAAGATAGGGATTTTTTTTTGTAATGGAGTATCAAAGCATAATCAGGAAAAGTTTGTTCCCAGAATAGACCAGCACAGTTTTAAGATGCTATTATCATTTATTCTCATTAAACAACTCTTTTTTTTTTTTTAGTGTTTTGTTTTAAATCAAAAGATAGTCAGAGTTGAACTGCTATGAAAAAGGTTACAAGTAGGTATTTAAAGATGATTTATAAAGTTAGCACTTCAGAAAAGTGTGATTTTCTTCTTTCTGAAACTGTTAGCTTCCATATGAAGAAAATGTGACTCTCAACAGCAGTCTATTCTGTAAAGAGTTTAAGAGAGTTCAGAAACAAATACAGAGAAATTCCCCAAAACACAAAGGTGAAGATGTATGATAAGCAATTCAAGTGTTGTTTTCCCCTTCTGTAATTTTTTTCCTTTCAAAATTGTTACTGAAAACCTATTCAAATCATTGTAGTTTTCCTTGTTCAGATCACTCATACTGTAACTGTCATACATTCACCCAGATGTGCATTTTAATAGCTGAATATCCAGTGACCATCATAAAGTAAGGGCCCTGTCCTACAAAGCTCAGCTGATTTTAACAGGACTCTTGGAGGCTTTCAGGGTTTGCTGGCAGACAACTCACTGTTATCTCATATTTTAGAGGATTCAAGGCCACAATCCAGAGGAAAGTACCTTTCCCTGGTAAATTCTGGACAGGTTGGATCGATGAGCTATGGCCAATTGTATGAGGTTCAACAAGGCGCATTGCCAGGTCCTGCACTTGGGTCACAACAACCCTCCACAACACTCCAGGCTTGGGGAGGAGTGGCTGGAAAGCTGTTTGGCTGGAAAGGACCTGGGGGTATTGGTTAATAGCTAGCTGAGCATGAGCCAGCTTGTGCTCAGGCAGCCAAGGTAGCCAACAGCATCCTGGACTGTATCAGAAATAGTGTGGCCAGCAGGACTAGGGAGGCAATTGTCCCCCTGTACTCAGCACTGATGAAGCTGCACCTCAAATCCTGGGTTCAGTTCTGGGCCCCTCACTACAAGAGAGAGATTGAGTTGCTGGAGCACGTCCAGAGGACAATAAAGCTGGTGAAGGGTCTGGAGAGTAAGTCTTAGTAGGAATGAGTGAGAGAACTGCGGTTATTTAGTCTGGAGAAAAGAAGGCTCAGAGAGGACCTGAAAGGAGGTTGTAGTGAGGTGGGGGGTCACTCTCTTCTCCCAGGTAACAAGTGATAGGACAAGAGGTAACAACCTCAAGCGGCACCAGGGGAAGTTTAGATTGGATATTAGGAAATATTTTTTCATCTAGAGGGTGATCAGGCATTGGAACAGGCTGCCAAGGGCAGTGGTGGAGTCACCATCCCTGGAAATGTTCAAAAACCATGTAGATGAGGCCCTCAGTGATATGGTTTAGTGGTGAACTTGGCAGTCCTGGGGTAACAGTTGGACTTGATGATCTTTCAGGTCATTTCCAACCTAGTTGATTCAATGATTCTACGAAGTTTACTTGTTTCAACTGTGTGTAACTGCTGATAGTCAACTCTAGAAATAGGATGTAAGTGAGAAGTACTAAATGTAATTCTGCCTTTGTAGGATAATCAGTCTCTATTTATAGTCAGGCTGAAGCATCTTGGAGGAGTCCTTGAACAGCAATGGCTTCAATCTCAACTTGGGCACCCTGTGAGAAAACAATGAAGAAACATACTAGGAATTTAATGTATCTATTTTATGAAACAATTGGATGTATAAAACAACGTCATAAGAACAGGGTGACATTTGAGGGAGGTTATACTGCTGACAGTGGTATTACTAATTTAGCAATGTTGAGTAATTTTGAAAACGCACTTTACTCTTACTTAAGTATCATAACCCCTTATTTCTAGTGTTGTAGCCATCTTCCTCCATAAAGAAATGTATCTCTGATATTCAGATTTCATATAACATGTAGGAATAAGACTTGCGGTATACTTAGAAAAAATGTAAAGACTTAAAGAGTCTTCATTAAAATGGTCACAATTGAAGCTATTCCAGAATAAGAACAACTGTCAGAATGTTTCAGTTACATATATATATATATATATACATACACACACTATTTTTTTTTATATATATATATATATATACACACACACATACACACACACATATAAAAAGTT